GGTTTTGGGCTTTCGGGGGTTGATGAATCTTCTCAGGGTTAGGCAAATTTGAGAGCGAGCGTTTAAAGGCTCGACGGGTTGGGGATGCTTGCAGGCGGCCGACCTGCGGCATCAAATGGATGAAGTGCTGGCCAAGAAAGAGAGGCGAAGTTGGGATTGCCTCATGGCCTGCTCATGTGCACGTAAGGTTTTTTTGCTTAAACTACCAATCTCCATCATCTAAACCCAAAGGCGTGGCACCCTACGCGGGCCCTGCACCGTGTTCCCAAAAGGGAAATCTGTGGAAAGGCTGGCCCTCGAGAAGCTCGATATCGAAGTAGAGCTCGAGTCAGAGCAAAAGTGCTGCGAGCAGGAGCTTGGGCACCCTTTCAGAGGTTTCATCCATTATCCTGTCGTTGAAGGGACAGTGCCTGCGTGGCTGCAGGGGCGATACCACCAGAACATGACCAAACCTATGCCCCGTCCTCCAACACGTGTCCCATCAAGGCCCACCCCCGTCTTTACTGCACCTCCCCTGTCCTCTGCCACAGGAGCGGCTTGCGCGCGGGTGCGCCGCGGTGCCCAAACCCGCACTGGAGGGGATCGATGAGCTTGACCTGAGCTGCCCGGAGCTCAGGTCAGGAGCATTGCTGTTCTGGTGAATTTGTTCTCCTTCGTGACTCAGGCCTTCGTGCTGAGCTGGCAGCTCGCAAGGAGTTGGCGGAGCGTGAGCTGGCAGAGTGTCTTTCGGCGCACTACGGCGCTATTTGGGGTTAGGGCTCGCGGGTTTATGAAACTTTTATGAAACAGCAACCGTTTTTTGAACAGAGGGCCCTATTAGACTCCTTTTTTGCTACCTGAAAGGCTCCGGGGCTTCGAGAGCCAAGGCCGGCACCAGCTGGGGGAGGCCGAGGCCTCGCTCAGCGCAGCCTCCGAGGCCTCCCAAAATCCCTGGATGATTTGGATGTGTTTCAAAGCGGGCTTTGAGAGTTCCAGGGACTTCTCCTTTTTTACATATCTTGTTTTTTTGGCGGGGGGGAGAGGGGTTTCTAGGGAGGAGGGACTTTCCGACATGAGCCAAAACGAGCGTTTTTTTGCTGGGGAGCTCACAGGCGTCAAAGTGGGATTTCCGACATCCAAAGCCGGAGCCTCCAAGCAGGCAGCTGCCGAGCACCGTGCCGCGGAGGCGGATAGGAGGAAGGTGCCAAGAAGAAACCTTTGGGGGCTCAGAGTTGAGACTTTTTGGGCGGCATTCATGGGGGCATCAACGGGGCTTTAGGGGCGCCGTGGTTTGAAGTGCTGAGTGTGGCTGAGAGTGGCTCGACCCCGAACCCGAGTTTTGAAATGGAGGGGCCCGGGATGGCCCCGGTCGGGAGCGCGGGGCCAAGCCCCAAAGCATCACAACCTGCATTCCCACAAGTTTGCTCCAGATCTCGCCGTGGAACTCCGGAACCCCCAATTCGCAGAGTTGAGCACAGGCGTTTGCACTCCTGGAGCCTGCTGGACCTGCGGAGAGCGAGGAGGTCTTCAGGGACTGGCGTGGCATGGAGGTTTCAGGGTTCGAGGTGAGACTTGGCTCTGTAGGACTCGGGAAAATCATGACCTAAAACATGTGAGTTCACGCTCTAACGATGTTTCATGCAGGGTTGTGCCAGGCCTACAAGCGTGCTCCGCAAGATGATCCTCAAAAGTGCCAGTTGCGAATCCGCTGCTCATGTTGGCCGGTTGCACCAGACCAAAGCAGGGGCACCACTGGTTCAAATCAGTTCATGCCGCGCAAATGGATCGGGGGGTGAATCTGCATTTCTTATTCATTCCCTGTATATTGTGCGCGCATTCGACTTTTACCCCGGGAGGCTCAGCCCATGGGCCTTCTGCAGGAGGCCAGAGCTGCGAGGCGGCTCCCCCAGGGCTGCCATGGGGCGGCGGGGGGGGGGGGGGGGCTGTTGGGGGTTCAGATGGTTGCAAAGTTAACAGGTATCCACGGCATTTCAGAGACGATCTTCTAGCCTTAAAAGTAATTTCTTGGAGATATAACATTGTGGGTTTGAAGACCGGTCGGATGGCTTGAGGCTTATTGTTCTGGACATCATCCGCCAGCCTGGACTGGTGACTCAAACTTGCAGCCTAGACCAAGCAGGACAAGCAACCACACCACTAGGCCCGACAGTGGCCCGCGGGATCCCGACACCTTTGCAGCCTTTGCACTGAGAGCAGAAAATTAGTCGCCCCCCCCCCCCCGTGTCCCCCCAGACTCTGCACTCTTGGGCTCACAATGACTCAAATCTCGTCAGAGTCGTGTGATTGGCAGGGGAAGTCTAGTATGATAATGCTCATGCGCCCAAGGCTCGTGGCTGCGGAGAGCCTTGAAGCTGTTCGCACAGAGGCTGGATTGTGACATTCAGTCGAATGTCTGGGATTCTGCCGAAAGTGTACGTATCCAAATAGAGTCAGGATTCTAGAGTTTTGCCACTTGCTAGTCTGGACGTTTGGGTCTAGGGCCTCATCAGATCTCCACTGAGACGAGGTCGAGCGGAAACACCGGCAGCTTGGCTGCCGGCATGACATGTTAGCGTCGGCCCAGCTGTTGCGAGCATAGATCTGGCTTGCCCAGCGAGCCAGGCGTTGTCTCTCATCGTCTTCTAGATTGCAGGCACCTCCCTCAAAACAAGAAACTAGCTAGGCTCGGTCAGCATATTCGGATGCAGACTAGCATTGCATTCTTGATGCAGGAGGTCGGTCTTCCGAAACAACCCGCGCTAAAGCAAAAAACATCAAAAAACCAAAGAGCTGAAACAGTAGAGAGACGCACAGCATATGAAAGATGCTGCAAGTGGCTCGGCCCTAAGTCGGGCTCACAGGTATCTCCTGTGTTTTGGTTCGGCCTTCAAGGTTGAAAAGCCTGACACACCACTTCACTACCTCCACGAACCCAGCTAAACCGTACCCCGTTAAAGTGAGCATTCCAAAGCACCCTTAAGCCCGTAAGCCCTTGTGCCACTGTGGTCTTTGAATGCTACCTTGAAGCCCCATTAAATCCCGAAACCCCCATCCTCAGAACCGAGGCTTGAGGAGGCCCCCCCCGCACCAGCCTCCATCGTTGCGGACAGTGAGCTATCGGAGGAGTGGGGGGGGGGGGGGGGCTGGGGCAGCGCTTTTGAGGAGGGGGGGACGTGAAGGGGATGTTCAGGGGATGTTAAGGGGATGTTAGCCTGATGTCAACTTCAGGGGGTTCAAAGTTCGGTCCTGGATTCGCGGACCCGCATGTTGGCGGCAAGGACGTCCTCCGCTTCGAGTTCGTGCTGGATGGGGAGGCGCCGGCACGTGCTGTACTACATATCTGTGTACTTGCAAATGAGCTCATATCTGCATAGTTGTCAGTAAAGCAAGACACATGTATACAACATATATTTGTAAATATAAACAGAAATATAATTAGAATTTACTATAAATACAAAAAGTATATGAAACATGAATATAAATATATAAATGTAACCATATTTTTCATATAAATATGCATATATTAATATCAATAGAAATAGAAATGGACATTTAGTAAATGTCCATGTCAATGTCAATGTAAATGTATATGTAAGTGTAAGTGTAAATGTAAATATGAATATGCATATGTGGTCGTCCCCACCCTGTCCCCCAATGGACAAACCTCATGTAAAGGCTCCTGTATACACTGTCTACTCTGATGCATTCCCTCTACTTCTACTCAATATGAATTATATGAGATGCAGGGGATGAGGTGCCATATGTATTAAATATCTTGAAAAACCACCACAAAATCTCCAAATCAAAAAAGCATCCAAAACTCCAGAAAAGCAAAAATCCAAAATCCAAACTTGCCGGATGGATTTTGATTTTTTGATTTTTTGATTTTTTGATTTTTTGATTTTTTGATTTTTTGATTTTTTGATTTTTTGATTTTTTGATTTTTTTGATTTTTTGATTTTTTGATTTTTTGATTTTTTGATTTTTTGATTTTTTTGATTTTTTTGATTTTTTGATTTTTTTGATTTTTTGATTTTTTGATTTTTTGATTTTTTGATTTTTTGATTTTTTTGATTTTTTTGATTTTTTGATTTTTTGTTTTTTGATTTTTGATTTTTTGATTTTTTGATTTTTTGATTTTTTGATTTTTTTTTATTTTTTAATTTTTTTTATTTTTTTTATTTTTTGATTTTTTGTTTTTTTGATTTCTTGATTTTTTGTTTGTTTGATTTTTTGGTTTTTTGATTTTTTGATTTTTTGATTTTTTGATTTTTTGATTTTTTGATTTTTTGTTTGTTTGATTTTTTGGTTTTTTGATTTTTTGATTTTTTGATTTTTTGATTTTTTGATTTTTTGATTTTTTGATTTTTTGATTTTTTGATTTTTTGATTTTTTTTTTTTTTTTTTTTTTTTTTTTTTTTTTTTTTTTTTTTTTTTTTTTTTTTTTTTTTTTTTTTTTTTTTTTTTTTTTTTTTTTTTTTTTTTTTTTTTTTTTTTTTTTTTTTTTTTTTTTTTTTTTTTGTTTTTTTTTTGTTTTTTTTTTGTTTTTTTGTTTTTTTTTTTTTGTTTTTTTTTTTTTTTTTTTTTTTTTTTTTTTTTTTTTTTTTTTTGTTTTTTTTATTTTTTTTTTTTTTTTTTTTTTTTTTTTTTTTTTTTTTTTTTTTTTTTTTTTGATTTGATTTTGAAATTTTTTGAAAATTGAAACTTGAATGTTGAAATTTTTGTAGTTTTTCGCACATTTGTTTTTTGTTGAATTTTTGAATTTTTTTTGAAAGTTTTTTTGAAATTTTTTTTTCTTTTGAAATTTTGATTGTTGATTTTTTTTTTGAAAAATTTTGTTGATTTTTTTTTTTTGAAACAAGCCTGCCACAGGATCAGTGCCCCTGCTGTTGCGCTTGCGGCCCCTCGATAGGTCAGGCCGCTGCCGCAACCGCTGATCCCCGGGAGGGTCCTTCTGGTTTTTATAGGTTTTGGTTTCCCTTTGCGGCCCGCACGGTCGCCCAATTCCCCGCGCTTCGGAGATGCGACGCCTCCGGCACCTCCGGCCGCGTGCCCTGTATATGTCTCGAGGAGCCATCCCGGCCGCCCGGGGCCGACGACTCGCTGTTCCCGTGCTGCGGTGCCTTCGCACACCTGACAGCATCCGCACGTTTTCCCACGCGGACGCGCCTGAGCCGCCGGAGCCGCGCGGCGTGCGTGAATGGGTTTCGTCGAATTGCCCGACCGCAGCATGCAATGGTCACCGGTCCCGCACGAGGGAGGCATCGCGGCTTGGACCGGCATGTGGCTTTGCCTGCGGTGCCAGCATGAGCTGCAGGCTGCTCGTGTACAAGTCCCTGACCGCCAGCCTCTGCCGAGTGCCAATGTGGTGGGAGGTGGACATGCGAGCTGGCGCCGAGCGCTGGGTTTGCCACAAGTGCCCGCTCGCTGGACGTGCTCGCCCGTTGTGCCTTGCCCGTGACGTCCTTGGCGGATCTCATCCGACAACTCAGCAGCGGTGAGCGGGGAAATGCTGCTCACTATTCTCTTGGGCGAGGCCGAGGCTGCAGCTTTAGCACGCAAGCCCGCACCGTTGGCCCGGCGGTCAAGCTCCTCAGGGGCGACCCGAGTCTCGCCGGGCGAACGGAAGAGCAACATGCGCGGCGCTAGGAAGAAAAGTGTCCATCCACGTGCCGCGTCCTCCGGGGAAGCTCCCTCCACAGCGAGTCGGAGTCCCGTCGCCTAGCGGCACGGAACGCGCCACGGAGGCGCGCAGGGACTCCCTGCAGGGTCAGCACCCTCCAGCGAAAGTGGTCCTCGACGAAACAGCATCAAGCGCAAGCAGGCACCTCGCCGGCGTCCGGCGCAATGGGGTCAGCTTGTGGCGGCTGTTCTGGCGGACCCTTGGCAGCATGACGATCAATTTCAGCTGCTGAATGCCAAGCGGAAGGCGGCGAGTTTAATGCCCGGGCTGTACTCCCTGGCTGCACACGGTGCCTTGCAAGCTGTCCAATCACAGCTCCTGGATGCTGAGCGGGTCCTCCAACTGTATGAGCACGTCGAGGTCGCCCTGTGGGAGCATGCGCGCGGCCGCCTCAACCGCTCCAAAACCAAGGCCTGGAATGCCGCTGGCGAGGAACCGCAAAACATCCGGCACCTCCAGCCCCGGGGCGGTGATCCGGTTTGGGTCGGGGATTGGGTGGTTTCGTCGCGCTGGGCACGCCGCTCGGAACCGACGCTGTCGTGCAGCGCCAGCTCCGCATCAGACGTGCTGCCCAAAGGATCTCCAAGCTTCCTGGCTGCTTTTGCGCTACTGCGCTGCTCCTAGGGCAAATTACTTACTGCAAGTACTGCCCCCAGCGCTCAGCGAGGAATACGCCGCTGGCCACGACGCGGCAGTTGCTCGGTGCCTGGCGCAGCTTCTCGGCTATGCGGACGCCCCGCTGCCGGAAGACGCCGGCCTTGGCCTGCGTTGCGCGAGGGCCGACCGTCATGCGGCGCACTGGGCCTCCTGGTGCGACGCGCTCCCTGTTGTTCGTGACCGAGCGCCTCAGGTCGCGCAGCGCATCCTGCAGGCACTCCATGCCCCTGAGGCCGAGCAAACTCCGGCGGGCCGCGCAACATGCAGCAGTCTACCTACGTGCGCAGGGTGCCCAGGTCCCGGCATGGGAAACCGCTGCTTGCCTGGCTGGGGCCCGAGCACAGCGCGGCGATGAGCCTGCCGATCACCTACGTGGATGGCAGCGGCATGAGGCCTCTGCCTGCGATGAGCGCACGCTCGAAACGCACCTCTTTCACCTGTCACCCGCGTCCCAAGCGCTGCTGCTGTCACAGGCTGGCCCGCACTCCTCACATGCCTTCAACTACTTGCTGCCTACGCACGAGGAGGTCGTCATCCCCAGCGCACAATTCCGTGCACTCCTGCTGCGTAGGTTGCGCCTGCCCCTCCCGCTGGCGCCCAGGCATTGCCATTGCCGCGGCCAGCTTGACCCCTGGGGCGACCATCGCGCAGCCTGCGCTACTGCTGGGGTGCTCCCCCGCCCGGGCGATCCCGCTTGAGCGGGCGCTGGCCCGCGTCTGCCGCGAGGCGGGCGCTCGTGTCGCCCAGAACGTCCGTCTGGCCGACATGAACCTGGATGCCTCCGTGCAAGACGCCAGGCGCATCGAGGTAGTGTGCAATGGTCTGCCACTGTGGCATGGTGCGCAGCTCGCCGTCGATGCCACCATAGTCAGCCCTGTTGGCAGGACCGGCGAGCCACGGGCCGGTGCAGATACCCGACCGGCTCTGGCCCTCGACCAAGCCGCCCAGCACAAGCGCCGCCAGACCTACCCTGAACTGGAAAGGGCGCGCCGATGCCGCCTTGTTGTTAACATTTTCGGTGTCGAGATGTGTCGAGGTAGGCGGCCGCTGGTCGCGCGAGGCAGCCCAGTTCGTCCGCCTACTCGCACGCGCACGTGCGGCGGGGGCGCCTGCGGCCCTATGTGCTTCCGCCTGCGGAGCCTGCGCTGGAGTTGCATTCTCTCCGTCGCGGCGCAGCGCGCCTTTGCAACGTCGTTGCTGGAGCTGCCACTGCACGGGGAGTGCCAAGGCGGCGGCCCTGAGCCCGAGCTGCATGAGGTCTTTGCGGATTCGCGCTGGACGGCTGCTCCCGCCACGAGCCGAGTCGCGCCGCGCGCAGCGTGAGCACGTGCTTGGGACGACCTGCGGAAACAGGTGCGTGTGAAAAAAACAACTAATCTCGGCATTGTTTTTTCATGCCTTGTCAATCCCAAACCACACAACACTTAGCATGAGTGATCATAAGTTGAGCAGGTGTCTGCGCCTGGTCCTTTGTTGCACTTTCCTGCTGTGATTCTGTGTGGTTCATTACTATCGGCATCGGAAGTGTTTTGGTTTCTTCAGGCCCTCTTCGGGGTTGTGCCGTTGTTCTGACCTATGCGCCGTGCCTCGCCGCAGCCACTGCCGGAGCATGCCGGTCAGGTAGAATTTGGGATGTTTTAAAGCGGGATGGAAACATGCACGCCGCCTTTGCTGGGAGGATCGAGTCGGGCAAGTTTTGCAACGAAGGCCGCTCTAGGATTTTGCTGTTTATTGTGTACGTGCGCGTGGTTGGCATCAAAAGTAACATTACCGTACCTCAATCCAGCAATACGCAATATCAATCAGAAGTCCTGCTATGTACGGGATAGTTGTGGATCCTAATCCATGGGAGACTTAATTAAGTCCCATGCTAGTTAATGATGGACTTGTATAGGGCAACCAACAAAAACAGTCACCCAAAAAAGACTCAATGAGTTTTTATATTCGACATCGCTAGTTACATAAAATGTAGTATGTATATCCTCTTCGATATGTCACGTATGTTTGAGTTGTGTGATGGGAGGTACAGCAGCATCCGGTTCATTTCCAACCTTCGAATCGTCAGCACTACCTTGCAGCACCACTTGCATCACTTCACCACTGCCGCCACCACCGAACGACTTGCAGCTTTGCATGTTACGGAATCAATGATGAACAGACAATAACTTTAATGTAGTAATTCCTGCTGTAATGAGAGCGTCCTACAAGCAGGGTCATGATTTCTAAGTAGTGCTGTAATGAGAGCGTTCTACAAGCAGGGTAATGATATCTAAGTAGTTACAAGACTCCCTATGGGTAGCATGATGAGCTGACTATACCGAGCTAATAGGATTGTGAAGAAAGATGATATGGTAATACTTGGACGACCACGATTCGTTCATTGATGCGAGGTGTGTTGTTGATCTAGGAGGAACAGTGTTATCGGCCCCCTCACATTCGCAGGGTGGTGTCTTCCGCACCGGACAATCTCCAGCAAACCTGCTTGCGTTGTCCCGCACGGCGCTTCCACTTTGTTGCTTGGCTGCCCGAGCCTGGATTCGCCGAAGGCCGGATGTGGTGCACCGCACACGGGACTGCTCATCTACGCCTAGGCGTTGTGCGCATCCAGAATCGCGAACGATCATCGTTTCATGTGGTGTCCTGATGAGGGCTCCCCAAAAATCTCTTTGACTAGTCTCTTTGTAGCGGAATCGCGGGGTACGATTCGGGAACCCTTGAATCACTCTTGAATCATATTTGGTGAAAATTGTTTGGGGGCCGAGGTCGAAGTTGTTTGCGGCTAGGCCTCCACACACACTTTTGACTCGTTTGGGCTTCTTCTGGAAGGCTCTAGGTTTCAAATCTTATCGGGGATGCCGGGGGGGGGGGGAGGGGGGCGTGGGGCAGGGGATTGCTTCATTCGGGACTAATTTTTTGTTTTGAGTGTCGGTACTGTAAACTTTCGTACGATTACGCACCACGGTACCACGTTTTTTTTTGTCATGGAGCTTCGGCATAATTTCGTGCTATTGTGAAACATCAGAGCTCAACATTACGACGTCTAGAGGTGTCCCAAACATCGTCTCGTGATGAAATGTAGTCGCTTTTGCGCACTGGAATGCTCTGCGCTCTGGGGGTGCTTTTGGGATAGTTTTGATGTGCTTAGATGCGTCGGTGCGTTCGTGTATGGAGGTGGTCGACCTCTCGCGCGAGCATCAGGGAGGGAGTGCTGGCTGCGCTGCAGGCAGGCCTTCGCGAGGAGTAGTCCCACATGTCCACAACTACGACGCAATTCGTGCGCGCGATGCAGGCTGATGAGCCTGAGTCGCAGCTTGGCTTGCTGCATTAGCGTAGTGACCGTGCACGTCACCGAGCGTGATTTGTAAGCTCCGGCTTGGCCATTGGGCCTGAAGCGGTCCTGCGAGCTGAATGACCTGGCAGGAAATACAACGGATTCCATAGATCGTCGGGCAGCCGAAATCATGCAAGCAACGGTGCCATTTGGTGTTGCATTGAGGAAAGGATCAAAGCCTTCCAAGAAGCAAAAGAAGAAAAGCTCAAAGTCGCCACAAAGACAACCCACATCCCAGGCGGAGCCGTTTCTTGGAGGCAGAGTGTTCCGATTTGTTGACTGAGCCCACGCCGTTTGCGGCGGTTGTTTCTCCTGTCTTCGGGATCGTTCGTTTAAGGACGGTGGCAGGCCAAGATGGCCAGGACAATGATGCCAATGACTTGCTGACCCTTGTGGAGGCCGTGCTGCAAAAGAAACAGAGGCGCATTCTGACAGGGAAACGAAACACGGCCGCGCAGTTTTCAGAAGGCTTGCCCTGGCAGTCTAGTATTCGTTTCGATTCAACTAGCATGGCGTCAGATGTCGACTTGAACAACATCTCACCTGACAGGGTGCTGATGCCTCGAGACTTTGAGATGATTTGTGAAAGTTGCGATCTGGAAGTCGAAGTTGCGCTTTCCAAGTGCGACTTCCTCGTGCAAGAGGACGGGATGGGTCCCCTTGCGTATTCATCGGCCTCGCAGGTTTCAGGGCCTTGTCGAAGCTTTCCGGAGGACTCTGGCATCATTGAGGTGCAAAGCCTGGATGATGCCTTGGCATTTTGCATGGCGGAGAAATTCGCTGACACGAAGATCGCTCACCCATTGCATGAAGTTGGCCTGTATGCCAACAAACTGGTGCCCAAAAAAGATCGGGAAACTTCTCGCCTCCAAACTTTGCTCTTCAAATATTCGGAATTTTTTTGCTTAACAAGCCATGGAACCGTGACCGTGAGAAAGCGACCAGCCTGGCCGGACATGTCCAAGGGCCGGTCCGTGTCAGAGCCTGGAGATGCTGACGTGCCATCCGAATTTGTGAGAAGCACTTCTGAGCCCATTGGCCGTCTGCGCAAGACTGTCTCTGACATTGACATCACGGAATGCCTAGATTTCCGCGGAAGCTTGGGCAGAACACCCACGAAGTCAGATTCCGCTACGCTGAGCGCGTCATTCGCGAATTGCATTGAGCAGCATGGGATTTTGAGGCTTGGAGAATGTCCAGCACAGTTTCTGGGCTCTAGGGTTGAGGCTTGGAACCTGCACCGGAGCGGGTTTGATTTTGGAAACACTCAACATATCAAATCAGGAGACCGGAGCTGCTCCTTGCAGAAATTGACAATGCCTGCGCTTTGCGCGGCATCCGGGAGGACTTTCCGCCTCGTGTTTTGAAGACTGCACTGCACATGTGCCAGCTTGTCAGCGGATCCAGTCATGGCGGCTGCAGGAGGCGTTGCTCAAAGATCCTCACGTTGGTGACATCCTCTCCGGCTTTGTGAAAACACTTGTCTTTGTCTCATCCGCAATTCGATTGGTCCTTGTCAGCCAGCCAATCACCACCATCCATGACCTGGAGACTGCCATCCTTACGCATCCCATGTTCGAGAACAAGAATCGTTTTGAGGATGCGTGCATTGGCAAGTTGCAGTTCCACCCTCTGGTAAGACATCATTTTGGTCTAAACGACCTGCCCACAATCCCGGCTAGTTTTCCAGCCGTCAGTGGGCTGGAGTTGGTACACAAGCTTTTCTCCGCCGATGTGGTGAAGTCCTTCTCTCGCGTGGGCTCGAGGCTGTCGAACAAGAGGGCCAATTCAGTGTATGGGGCACTGAATCAGCTTGCGGAAGCGTATCGCTTTGACGACTTTCGCAAAATGGGTCGGTGCCTGAGCATTGCAAGTATTCCATTGGCACTTTGCGCGCGGCCCCTGATTGCAGGCATCGCAGTGCAGGATGGCTCCTTCTTGGGACAGCTCATTCCTGCCATGACCAACTCGGGGGCAAACCTAGCAGCGAAAGCACGAACAGGCCGGCATGTGATTCAAAACTGAGCAGCACAAGTCAGCGAGAGATTTTTTGTTTTCGCTTTGTGGCCTCTGCTCGCAGGCGGTAGGGAGACTGTTGCGCGTGCCTTCGCTGAATGGATCGCTCTGAGCCTGCACCGACAACACGAAGACTTCTTGGTGGAGCTCCATGGCAGAAACGTTTGCAAAAGTGTTTCCGTCTTCGTCGCTCAGCACATGTATCTCAGAGGCTGGCCATGCTCAGCAGCAGGGAAAAGCAGCAAAAGTTTGTCGATGGCCGCTTTGCCAAATGTATCCAAATATTGATGGCTGCCCCTTAGAAGTTCAGAAGTGTTCGAGTGCCTCGTCTTGTCCAGGCCTTGCGTCGGAGCGGCCAGACTGGCCAGCAGCAAATGAATGGTCAGCAGCAAGTAGCCGCAATAGCCCGTCACATTATGTGCGCTGGCTGTTCAGTGAGCTACTGCAGTTGGCACCCAAGAACGGAGGCGCAGAAAAGCATCACCATCAGTGCACATTGAATGTAGTCATTGCAAGCCTGGGGGGTTGCTTGATGCAGGAGAAGCGGATGAGGCAAAAGATGTTGAGCTGCCAGGCGATGGCACGAGAGCGGAAGGTGACAACAGGGTGACCGAGGCGCAATTGGGTTTTCGATGTCAAAGTGTGTACCAGAGCACCTCAAACCCGGATGCACTTGGCCAGTCGCACCGCAATGCCAGGCGGAAGAGCCAGCACTAGAGAATTCGAAGCAGTTCAGCAGCAGTCGCATCCTGGACCGCATGCGCACGTTTCTGGGATCAAGTCTGGAGCTGGGAGAGCTTCTGAAAGCGCCCCTCGTCTGCAGCAATACTCGCCTCCGTGACTGCGTGGAGCAGGCATGCCTCAAAGCAAACAATTCGGGTAAAGGCATAGTCTATCTGTGTTCAAGCATGCCTCAGGTTGGGAAAGTTCGAAGACCGTCTCTGCAAGGAAGAGGGGAAGAACACTTGGAGGGACC